GTTCTTCTTGATTTCGGGAGTACACCAGAATATCATCTATGAATACAATCACGAATTTATCTAGATACTCCTGAAATACTTTGTTCATTAATGCCATAAACACAGATGGAGCATTTGTCAACCCAAATGGCATCACCAAAAATTCATAATGTCCATACCTAGTACGGAAAGCAGTTTTTGGTATGGACTCCTCCGCCACCTTTAATTGGTGATATCCGGATCTCAAGTCAATTTTTGAGAAGACTCATGATCCTTGTAGCTGATCAAACAAATCATGAATACGTGGTAATGGATATTTATTTTTCACTGTCACCTTATTAAACTTCCGATAATCAATGCATAACCGAAGAGTTCCATCTTTCTTTCTCACAAACAATACTGGAGCTCCCCAAGGTGACACACTAGGTCGAATAAACCCTTTTTCTAGCAACTCTTGAAGCTTCTCTTTCAATTCCTTGAGTTCCATAGGCGCCATTCTATATGGAGGAATCGAAATGAGTGCAGTTCCCGGCAATAGCTCGATGGTGAATTCAATTTCCCGATCTGGGGTAACCCAGGTAAGTCAGAAGGAAAAACATCCAAAAAATCATTTACCACCTCCACATTTTCTGGCTTAAGCTCGGGTTTGTTTTCCACCACCTGAGCTAAATAAACGTCACACCCCTCCTTCAACAAACCCAAGACAGTGGCGGTTGAAATTAGACAATTAGGCATTGCCTGCCTAACTCCCTTGAAAACTAGATTCCCAGATTCAGGAATCTCAAATAATACCTCTTTGTTATAACAATTCACCATTGCCCTATGCCTACTTAACCAATCCATCCCCAATATGATATCAAATTCATCAAATTGGAGAAGCATTAGGTTAGCAGGTAACTCTAATTCTGACACCCTTACAGGACATTCGGGATATACCTGGTTAATCTCAATCGTATCTCCTACCAGAGTTTTCACATATAGGTTCTTAGTTAAACGTTCAGGTGTCGCATGAAAATGTTGAGAGAATGCTCGGGACACAAATGAATGAGTAGAACCAGGATCAATTAGAACATAGGCAGGAGTACTATGAATAGAAACCATACCAGTAACAACTTCAGGAGAAACATCTGCTTCACCCCTTGTCATGGCAAAAGCACGAGGTCGAAATTCACTCCTTGCTCCTCACCCAGTGGCATTACTTCTGGTCTCAGTATTTCGACTTCTTCCCCTGCAATTTATTCCTCTGAAACTTCCCCGGGAAGCACTACTAGCTACCCTTGAAATCGGAGCTGTGACGTGGGATCGAACAAGAGTAGGGTTACCCCAATTAGGGCACTCTAGAGAATAGTGTCCCACTCCCCCACATTGGTAACAAGTCACTGAATCCCTCCGGCAAGCTCCCTTCCTTCCACATTGAGGACACCCCTGTATCTGAGGGTCACTCCTCGTAATGGAAATCCCACGATTGGGAAGGGGATAGTTCCATCTAGCACGCTGAAAAGACCCCTCATACTAAAACCCCCATCACTGTACGAGGTACTCTCCCATTTCCTCTTTCTTTGATCATACTCTTGGTTGGATTTTTCCCGAGCCTTGTGTTCATTCACTAAGATCTTAGCTCGTATCGGCGTTGCCTTTAGGTTAACATAACCATTTATGTCAACACTAGCCACCCTCTCCTTGATATCTTCTCGAAGTCCCCCTTCGAATCGGATACACTTGTCCTCTTCAGTTGGGACCAACTCCCTTGCAAATATCATCAAGCGATGAAAAAGAGCTTCATACTCACTCACGGTTTGTCCCTCCTTCTTCTTCAAAGTTAGAAATTCGACCTTCTTCTGCTCACGATAGACTGCTGGGATATACTGCACTCGAAAATGGCGTAGAAACACATCCCACGACCGCTCAATCGTATTGTCTTCCACGCCCGGGATAGTAAGCCACCAGTTATGGGCATCAGATTCCAATAGTTAGACTGCATAGTCGAACTTAACATCATCAGGGCATTGCAGCAACGCAAAAAACCCTTTCTTCTTTCTTCAGCCAATCTAGTGCAACATTTGGATTAATAGAACCCTTAAAAGCCTCAGCTCCCATTTTAAAAACCTCAGCATAATCCCTTTTATAAGGGACTCCACGAGCCTGGGACTCGGCATGATTCCCAATATTCACCCCAATATCATTTTCGGCATTCGCCTCAGCATTATTTCCCTAGGATCCTTGGGATGCACGAGGTGGTGGGTTGGCTACTGCCTCTCCTTCGTGACTGAACTCCACATGAAATCAATGACAAACTTTGAATTAGGATCCGGATCCATACTTGACTCATATGAAATTTTATTTAAAAACATGAAAATCTCATCAAAATCATTTAAAACCAAGTAGTATCCCGGGGATCATATCCCAGCTCGGATACCACAAATGTAACACCCAACATTCTAACACATAACATGCATAGTTTACAAACTTTGAAAACAAAACATTAAAACTTGACAACCTTTATATTACAAAACTCAAACTTCAAAATACATTTAAAACATGCATGACCTTTGAGAAGATTCACTTCTCCTCAAAGTAAAACTTATACATAATGCTGGAGTTCGAGTCACCACCACCTCATCATGATATATATATATATTAATTAATTAAAAGCACAAGTTTAGCTTTAATGGGTTTACTGTTGCATACGACAAATCCCGGTAAATGTAAAACCGGATATCACTGTTCATATTGCATTTATAAGCTGCGGCCGGATGTACCATAAGAAACAAAAACTTTGCGGGATTAATTATTTCCAGCAGGATGGAACTAAAGGAAACTTAAAACCATGCTCCATACACTTCCTTCCTTCTTTACACTCTAGCCTCCAATACTACCAACCTTTACATCACCCAACCGTACGTCCTAGCATTGTTATTTCTATCATCCCTCTCGGTAATTGTAATATCATGGTAATTTTATAATTTATACCATGACAAAAGACAAGCCAATACAAAATATTTGTAAGATAACGTTATACACTCACGGTAGAGGACGGACAAATACGAAATATTTGTAAAGTAACACTATACTATGTAATTTTTATTTTATTATTAGATCACAACGTACGAAAGATTTGGATAACGCTATTCTATAACAATTACACTATGCACTTTGATTTTATTATTAGATAACATATTACAAAAAAAATTTGTAACAACATTCTATAAAAGTTATATAAATTAGAAATACATTATGTATTAAGACACTGTGTAGAGTTTATTAAAGGCTAATTATTTTGTGATTACCTTTAGACAGCTATCTCGGTAATTTTTAATTTTTCAGCTACACCCGATTTTATCATAAGCTCTTTTTCTCACAGTGCATTGTTTATATATATGGCAAAGGCTAGCGTACGCCCGGACGTACCCTAGCCTACCGTACGCCCGTTGAGTTTTGCTATTTAGACAATAAATTAACCGGAGTTTGGGGCACGATACTATACCCTAACCCCTAATGAGTGAACCCCAATCCGCAATTCACTAACCCAAATAATAATATTCATTTAATCTTGAAATGAAAATCAACAGTTCTGATTCGTCGAAATTATTGTTGATTTTCATTTTAAGATTAAACGTAATGTTCACCATGTCATTAATTTGCATCATGCAAAATCTGTAAGGTAAGTTAACTTTTCCATTATAGTTTAATCAAATGTGAACTTCTCATAACTTGATTTTACTATTAGACCATATATTATGAAAGATTTAGCACTATTCTACAACTGTTACATAAATTACGAATACATTATTTCAAACTTATGAAGGAATAATTATTTCTTAAATATCACTGAAACAAATGTATTATGTAAGTCTATGGTAATGATTAAGAAACTATATGAAGATTATCTATATATCAATACTAGAGCTATTTTGTGAATTATTTGATTTTAAAATAATCATTAAATGAGTAAACGAGTATACCAAATTTTAGATATAATTAGTTTCTTACCGCCGCGAAGCGCGGGCCAAAAAACTAGTATATATATATATATATATATTCTTGAGCTTGCCAAGTCTCGAAGCTCCTACTTCTGTTGTCCAGTATTTGAGGGGGGGAAATGTTGACGAGTGTGAGACGTCACCTCAATGAGTAACCTCTAAACTAGAGTCATAATTAATATAAACATAATATTTTGGAATCACAATACCACCCTTAACATTACACCAGTCTACCACACCTCCCAAACGTACGATATCAGTTTTCATAATAGCATCCTTTATAAGGTATAACATCGACACGATCATCACATAAATCACCAAGCATGAAAGTTTAAGGATATCCTTAATCATAACATAAATCACAACACCACTTATCCTATTTCCCCAAATACACGAGCACACTCATACAACAAACAAAACACATACACAATATATTAGGCAACAGTCAAGTCTCCTCCGGCTAGCCATGCACAACTTAGCTTCTTTCCCCCACCGCCTCCTCCTCCTCCACCTCCTCCTCGATGCCTAGGCTCCTCCCCCACTGCCGACCTAAGGCATCGGTGACAATCTCCCATGGCCCGGGCAATCGGCCTTAAATCGATCATACATTCAAGTCCATACTGAGGACTTATCACATCATCAATTTCTACTCCATGTGCATAACTTTCCGTTGGGGTTTAAGTACTCACAAGTCATGAAAGTATACATTTTACTTCACAACATTTTATCATCATCTTCATTAATATTATAATCATCAAGTCATCACCATCATACCCGTACTCATCAACATTCCATAATCATCAACATCTTCTCATATCATTGACATCATCCCCGTCATCTTGTTCATCATCATCACACTCACGGTGATTATCATCAACCATCATTCGCCGAATCATTCACACACACGTACCCTAACCTTAATGTATCATATCCATCAAATTACCATTTCCAAATCAGTTCCTTTGTATTTGGGCCTCTTCATGACCCAAATATCATGCTTACATTAATAAGGCTACTAGGCGACTAGGTTTACTCACAATTCGATTGTTAATTCGCAAGTCCTTTTCCTTTGGATGCCTCCCCGGACTGCTCTCTTCCTTTAATCAACCATACAACACACATTTAATCATCTAAAGGGAGCATGTACTCAGATAATTGCATATAGGGGTTAAGGTGTGTGAGTTTTGGGTCAAAACATGTCATTTCCCCACATATCCCCTATCCCCCTCATGGATCCGGGGGAATTTGACCCCTGATCACTATTCTGATCATATCTCCCTCATTACTTAACCAAGTTGAATGATTCTTGTTGATACAGAAACTAGATTCATAGGGATATAACATATCTAAAATTCAACCCATTTGGACCATTATCCTGGTCTTCAAACTCAATTAAAATTTGAGGTTTAAAACTGTTTCCTGTACATATACCCTGTTTTTATACCTACGGTTTTTAATTTTTATACATACCAAATGATCTCCAAAATTTACCAAAATTTTGCAAGCATAACCCTCAGATCATGAGAAACGTTTTCTAAGAAGAAATATACCCATAATCCTTTCATCTATCCCTTTGATTATTGACATACCCATCTAACAAAGAAGGAGGAAGATGCTTCTTACCCTTTGGATGATCCTTCCCTTGTTCCTAAGCTTCCAACTCTTCCTTAGTATGATTAGATTTCAGATTTAAAGATGGAGGATGATAGTTTGATGATAGAGTGGTGAGAAGAGGAAAAGTGTAGAGAGGAAGAAGAGGAGTAGAGAAATGAGAGAGGATGGAGGGTGGTGGTCTGAAATTTCCAGCCCCCAATCCCTCTAAAATATCTCCATTCTTCTCCTTCTCCACCAATCACCTGAAGCCAACTATCCATCCCATAAGGTATTTCCCATTCCACTCCAAAACTTCTCCTTCTTTGCATTTTAGTTCATCTTTCATGATAATCTCCAAACTAAATCCACTTTATTAATTTCCATTAACCTTTTAATCAATTAACTAACCTTTTATACTACCATAAATACTTGATTCTCAGCTTAAAGGACGTCATTTTTATTCTCATCATTAATGACGTCATTATGAGTTAATTACTCTTATAAGGTAAGGATGTTATAGCAATGGGGTGGGGCGAGGCGGGTACCTCAATTCCAATGCCCTGCCCCACGCTAATACGCATGAGGGCGGGCAGAGTAGTCAAAATCCCGATTTAAATCCTAAAATTCTACGATTTTACTTACCCGTTCCAATTTTGATTTCACTATAAAATCTATGGACCTTAAAATCTTACGATTCAAATCTTTGAGTCAATTTTACTTATTTTCCCCAAAATTCACAAAATTACGTCTCTTTTCCTTCTTCTCCGCGAACATCTTCTAGTTCTCGCACACTAACCGCCATCAACCATCATCAATTCACATCAACGTAGTAATCATCATTGATTCACCTCTTCCCAACATTAACCTTGATAAATTTGAACATTAACCTTGAGAAATTATCATTGTAAGAATTATGTGTTTTTGTGTTATTCACGATTTTCCATATTAATATAATTCCGTTGTTTTTATATGAACCTTAAAATCCTACGATTTTATGATTTGATTTTATGATTCCGATTTTACCCCTTTTTATTTTTACGTAAAATCCCGATTTTGACTGCTATGGGGTTGGAAAAACTCGCGCGAGTACGAGGCGGAACGGGTCGATTCATGCTTACATATTATTTGAAAAAATATACCCAAATTTACTTTTTAAGATAAAATGAAGAGAAAACACTTTATGAATGAAAAGAACTGGGTAATTCAGTCTAAGAAATTGGCTCTAACTAGTTGAAGAAAAGTCAAAATAGGAGAAATATATAGATATGGTAAGAAACTGAGATAAAATGTGTATAGAACCGGGCGCGGCGGGTAAAAAATAGATACCCATGCCCCGCCCTATACTACTGCGGGGCGGGTTCAAATTGCCATAACTAGTATCCAGATAGCATATACCAACTAATATCCACAATCAACCAACTAGTATTCAATATGGATACTCTTATGTGTTATCTGGATACTAATTATGTGTTGTCTGGATACTATTATGTGTTGTCTGGATATTAGTTTGTGAATTTGGGATAATAGTTGATTCTTGGATATTAGTTCATGTATTTTGAATATCAGTTAGTATCTGCTAACAAATCTTCAAATTAGCATATTAACTTTCCCCACTAGAAACTACTATGTGAGCCCAAGATAAGCCCAATAGAAGAAAACTCGACCCAAGTTGAAGACAAAACTAGTGGTGGTCCAGTGTCAGGTTCAACCGTATCTGGAGGTCCTAGTCAAGACGCATCCAAATGATGAAAAGAGGTCATCCATGACCATGACCGAGTATACTAGCCCATGAAGAAAAAGGGCGACAGTCCCCCGCCGCTCATGCCATAAGCTTTTAGAAGCCTTCTTCAAAAAGTTATTTCGTCCACAAGGAGATGGTAACCCTTTCCTGGGTCCAGATCTTGTCAGTAGCTTATGGGTCAGTAACCCATCAGTAACCCCTTCCCTGGTCCCCACGTGTCAGTCACTTTTTTATTTAATTTAAATGTGAAAAGGGTAGTACGGTAAAATTGCACTTACTCCTATTTATTATTGATGGTCACTTTTGACCGGAGCCTATCAGCCCCTCCTTCTCTCTCCTGACAAAACATTTAATTTTTCTTCCCTTAATCTTTAACGGACGATTTCTCACTCGTTTTAAGTCGAAATTTATTTTTTTTGCACAGTTAGATCAGATTAATTGTGCTCTTCAAAATGATATCCACTTTGATATTTTTTGGACACAAAAAAATTTGTCAGTTATTACCAGTCATACCATATGGTATAGTGTGGTAATATCAATATATATTTCGTTACCACCCAATACCATATGGTATAGTGTGGTAATATCACACAATTCACACAAATACCATATGGTATAGAGTGGTAATATCAATATATATTTCGTTACCACCCAATACCATATGGTATAGTGTGGTAATATCAATATATATTTCGTTACCACCCAATACCATATGGTATAGTGTGGTAATATCAATATATATTTCGTTACAACCCAATACCATAGAGTATAGTGTGGTAATATCAATATATATTTCGTTACCACACAATACCATATGGTATAGTGTGGTAATATCACACAATACCATATGGTATAGAGTGGTAATATCAATATATATTTCGTTACCACACAATACCATATGGTATAGTGTGGTAATATCACACAATACCATATGGTATAGAGTGGTAATATCAATATATATTTCGTTACCATGCAATACCATAAATTACCATAGGGTATAGTGTGGTAATGTCAATATATATTTCGTTACCACCCAATATCATATGGTATAGAGTCATAATATCAATATATATTATCTAAAAGGAAAAAAACAGAAGGAGGGAGAGAGAAAAATCGTCTTCTGATGCCTCTCATTTCCTCTTCCTCAATCAAGAACACCAAAATGCCAAAAAAATGAGAAAGATCGGAATTGAGTCCAACGAGTTGATGAAGAGAAGAAATGCAATGAAAGAGAGTGGCTACAATTTTTATGGTAGAGAAAAAAAATGAAGAAGGAAGAGAGCAGATTTAGATTTGAAAAGGAGATTGTGAGAAAAAAAAGTAAGAGAGAAGGAATAGAGAAAGAGAAAGGTTATGGAAAGAGATTGAAAAAAAGGAAGAGAGAAGGAAGAAAGTTGAGTTGCAGAGAAGGAAGATTCTCTCTCTTTCATTGAAAAGCCAGCCATTGAAATGCGGAATAAATAAAAAATTAAAAATACGAAAACGGACAAAAATGCCCCTCCCCACCTAGCGTCCAGCTCATCCACACGATTTCTCCCTCCCCAAATCTACGGCCCGCGTGTTGTTACTGATGGGTCAGTAACCAGTGGTTACTAACCCTATCTTGGACCCCCTTTCCTAGTCTATTTAGGAGAGTCTTAGCCAAGTTATTCCCCTAAAAATAAAGGGCATGGCTAATTAGTTCCTTAAGGTTGCACAACTACACTCAAACTTCTATATATTTTGCTCGAGCAAGAGCTTAGTTTTCGTAAGAGAGGCCGCATCTAAGTACATGCTTTCATTATCGATGTTGCTTTCTAAGTTTTTTAAGTTGTCAAGTTAATATTACTTACAAAACTGCTAATAAAAATAAATTTTAGGCTAATAATACTAACAAAACATCATAATGGACCAAATACATGCCCATAGGCCATCTGCGCCCCGCAACAAGGCGGGGCATAGAAAAATAAAAGATGCATCAATCATCTGCAACTCGACTTGTCGGTTGTTAACTCCCACTCCCTTGCATAAAAGTGACATAAACATGAGAAATCAATTGAATCACAAGTTTTTATTAACTAATTATATTCAGGGGCGGAGACAGAGTGTTAGAAGGGTGTGCCACGGCACACCCTTGGCTCGGGGCTAGAACATTAAAAAATAGGGGTATTAATTTATGCTATAGCTAGGATTTGAACATGGAACTCTCTTAGTATTAGCTTTGACATCTTCCACTAAACAACAATTACTTACATGATACAATAATACGTTCTATTGCATATATATAATTTGCCGTTTACAAATAATAAGTAAATTAAATTAAAAAACCTCATAATTACATGCTTATTCAAGAAATAAACGAATGTATTTTACAGACTTTTCAAAATATCGTGATAGTCATTTTAATTTTTTTAAATTGGCACCCCCTTACTCAAAATCCTGGCTACGCCACTGATTATATTGCATTCATGTTCATAATAGTATATAAGCAACATGAATTCAGAACTACATGCATTGTGATAAAAGTATAAAAGTAACAGATTGGGAAAACAAACAGAAGCTGGAAAATTAATTAAAAAGAAACTTAGAAATGATTCAAAAGCATCAAAGTAACATGTTGGAAAAAACACACCGAGAGAATGGACAATGTTCTCCAATGAGAAACCAAACATAAGCTGGAAAATTCACCTCATAATGCAACAAGACTTAGGGGTTTTTTTAGGTCAAGTAACTTTCGATAATCTCTTCTTTCTTCGTCATAGCCTACAAAGACAAGAAGTAGAGTTTCTCATTAGACTTCACAACATAAACCAATGAATATGAAACTGAAACAAAAACTATATACTTAAAATTCCCCTCGCAATTTCCTTTTATAGTGTGGAGTGCATGCTCTAATCAACTTGTTCAACACTTCATACTCAGCAGCAGCAAATGGTTGTTCATGGACTAGGATGAAATGAGCCATCAGTTCTCGTACCTTAGCATGATCATATTTTAAGTTCTAGATAGCAAGGACACTATCATTATTTTCTAAGCTTAGATGTTGTTGTCCCCTCCCATCTGATTCAACTCAGTACCAGTTACAATTTAAGTCTAGAAAGTACAAGAGTTTGAATTATACAACACAAGACTTGTACAAGAGTAAAGCAGTATTACCGTTAATGTGTGCTCCAGTTTGGCAATTTCTGAAAGAAGCCCTGCCTCATCAATGAATTGCAATTTACAAATACCCTGACAATTGGCAGAAGAAAAGAAGCAACAGATATGTCAAAACTTGCAAGAGAACCAGTACAGGAATACTTAAACCTTATAAATACTCAAGACCAGTCGATCATTGATTACAACATAACAAAGGGGTTGGTGCAAGCTTCACATGGATGTGTTAAGGCCAGTACCTGCCAAGAAAACCGCTTGCCATTCATATCAACTTCAAAATCTGCCAGAAATGTTAAAGCAATCAGATATCACCAAGAAGAATGAGGAAGAGAAGATCAAGATCCAGACAGATAGTTAAACGGTAAATCCACATTACATACTCGCAGGATAAAAGTCCAGCAATAGGTGATAAGCCATCCTTCATCAATTTCCCATAGGACAAAGGGAGAGCAAGTGCACTGCAAGACCATAGATGGATTAAATCTTCATCATAAAAGAACTCAAGGACAGCCAGAAATGCCAAGCTTAACAGATCTTGCAGCTGGAAGTACCCCCATTAATTGATCGAAAGGATTGAAAGATTTCCCAAGTGAGAATTTGATTTCTAGATTATCAAAACCACGAAAATCTGAAGCTGACGGTGCATAATAGAAAGGATAAAACCTGCATGCAAAAATTTGCTTCAGTAAGTTTGTTACTTCACACGAGAGAGGGAGGGAGAGAGAGATGCAATTCTTAAGAAGGGCATTTTATGACTTCAACAGACAACGCATATCAATTGACAAGAAAAATGAAGCAGCAGCCTAGCAGCTCAGTTAAACTACTCAGAATTCATGTTATTGGTCAAGAATAAAGTCAGAGAGGGTTGGGCCTAAATCTTCTTCAATAGCTAAGGAACAGGCAGAAATGTGGTGATTTGCCACAATCCAGATCGAGCATTCAGAAGCAAAAACGGCCAGACGCCTCACAGTATCCGCAGTTCTACTCAGGGCCTCTTCAAGATGGGGTTATAAGAAAAGAATAGAGACTGATCAAGGGGAATGACGATATTCAAACAGAAAAACTACTTACCAATGCCAAGAACATACCCCTTCATAGTAGTAGTGCATATCCCAGGATAGTCCTTCTATATATTTCTCTACCTATGTAAATTAGACAACGACCAATAAACATATAGTTGTCCAACGGAATGAATCCAGTCTAAATTAGAGAAATTTTAGGGATGGTTAAGGAAAGAAATTAAGAAATTGGACAAATATTGCAATGGGCCAAAATCCTTGTCAAATGAAGAAAGAAAACAGCGACGAAGTCATTTAGGAAAATTATGCAAGGAATCAAACAACGTAATGCACCAAAGTAGAATCAATGAGGAAAAAACATAAAGAAATTCTCACTTGTCGCTGAATCCTCTCAAATTCATTTTCCGAGTTAAGCTGAAAGTTAGTTATGCACACAGTATCTCTCTTTTCAACCATCTTCTCCAAGTTTAACCTTAAAATGAAACTTTTATATCCCAAATTTTTAAAAACACCAAAGCATAGCAACTATTATTTAGACCAATATAAATATACCTTGTCAACCTCAGCAGCTTAGCCAATTTTCAGGACATTAACTGATCCTTGAGCGGCTACACTTCTACTCTTCTGTGATCACTGGAGATATTAGCATGAGCTCCCCAATTAGAAAGAACAGCACCACACAACATTGGATATGCTTACTACTCACATCCTGCAGCTCCGACATGTGTTTGATATCAAGTCTGCGCTGCAGACCGATATTAGAGCCCCATTCACTCGCTTTCTTCATCTGAGAAAAGGAATCATCAATAAAGACATATTACATAAAGACAAAACCATTGAACATAACATGAGCTTTATGATTATATTGATTCCGTGTGCCTGAGGTTCATACATCGAATGATTTGATAATTTTCATAAAGACGTGTTTTTTCTTCTTCTCTTTTGCACAAATAAAAGCATCTGGTCATTACAATGACATCCTAGATGCGAACCATGATCAGGTCGGAAACATATATGCTTCATATTTCAAACACATCTCAACATAGTAACTACTGGGCGAATATAAAAGGGCAAGTATTTTGCTTTAAAAGGGGGGAAAGAGGGTGGGGGAATAGTCAAGGAGAAGTCGTAATTAAAAGTGCCAGGCATTTAGCCCAGGCACCACAGAGACGGAGGAAGAATGTGACGCTAAATGCCTGACTACTTTACAAACAAAAAAATTGATGTCAAACCTCATAAACAAACTAAGAACCAATAAAGTAGTCTGTTACCCTAACAAACAGAAGAAGTGATGACTTTATGATTCGCAGTGTTGGTTCAGGAAGTAAGCACAAAACATCTGGAATCCTAGATGTTCACCATTAAAGAATCAGTCAGGTAACCACCCATCCGGACGAACTCCTTTTTGTAAGCATCAAAAGCAAATCAATAGCCCCCTGTAAATAACATAAATGAGGACAAACCTTACAGATAGCATAGAACATCCAGGAAGGAAGAAGGTATAGCTTCTGAAGGAACATCCATGGACAACTACAAAAATTGACTGATAATATATGCAAAACAAGGGAATTCTTGAAAGTGCAATACAATGTCAAGTATGATTCTCCGAAATCAACTAAGAAAAAAGTTGGGCCAGAAAATTCAGTTTCAGTGTCAAAAGAACTAGAGAACCATGATGGAGCTGGAGCACCACCAAGATAATTGGATTACTTGCAATGCTCCAATACCAGAATCACATAATTCTTCTAATCAAGCATGAAAAGTTAACCCCCCTCCCAGATTTACTGGTTAAAGATATTAAATTTTTTAAAATTTACATCATAAAGGCCCATATCAGTGCATGAAGCTTTGCATGAATGCATCATACAACTACGCAGAAAAATGAAAGACAAAAAAAAAACAAGGACCTCAAATTCCCACCTCAGAGATTGCGAATGATGGTACATGTAGCAGAAAATCATTTCCAACAAGCAAACACATGAAAACAAAGTCATCAATCAACACTCCATATCTGTGTCAGATGTCGAGTCAGGGATTCTTAAATCGTACATTAGATATTCTCTCAGAACCCAAACATGGAGGAACTGCCGATAAGAAAAACAAGAAAATCAGTAGGCTCAAAATTGCACCAAGCTATAGAACAACGGAAGTTTCAACATCAAATCGTGGATTCAGCTATGAACTGCAGAATTTCACAGATAATTGAGAGAAGAAATATCTAGGAAAGAAGGTTTCACTACTTCAAAACGCTAAACCGTGTTGTACTGCATTAAGTATGTGAAATACATAGCAGCCAAAATTGAAATATAATAGAACAACTTGCTACCATTTACGCCACAATTGGTGAAAATTTTATTTCTCTATTTCATGCCAACTGTTGCATGATCAACCAAAAGCGTTTAAGTTCCCAAATAACCTATGGAAAACAAAAGAGATAAGTTACCTGAAATTTTCTCTCAGAAACGTAGTGTGCTAAATTGTCCAAGAAAGCTGGTGATTGCTGAGAAACTCCTTGTCAAAAAAAACTTTTAAAGTCATGACCACTTTTTGTAACATTGTCTCTCGAGGTAATCTTACGTACTTCCTGTGACACAAAGAAAAAGAATAATGATGAAGACTAGATGTACAATTTCGGAATGCTATTGAGAATAAGAAGGCTACTGCAGCCACGATACCTCTCTCAGGACTGAACAATGAATTTCATGACTGGCCAAGGCAAGCATGATTAGATCTGCATCCTAATAAGGGAAAAAATAACAGAGAAGAAATCAGCAACATAAAACATACTTAGTAAGAGGCATCTCTAGTAGTCCCATTTATAGACAAAGACGTTTACCAAACCATACAAACAATGCCGTGTGTTTGGATTGAAGCCAGGAAGATTTCTTTGGAAGCGTATGTATGACATTATCTTGTGCTCCCCTTCACCAGGAACACTGACATCAGAATGAATGACCTAGAAAGACCAATTGACATATATGTACGTTCAGGAAAGTAAGGAAAAAGAAAACAGATATATGCAAGTTTAAACATTCAGCAGTTACCTTTATTCCTTTCCACCCGCCCTCCTCATTCATGCGCAAGTTAATGTAGTAACGGAGTGCTGAAGACATAAATTCCATAAACACGGTTCCTGGAGTGATTACATTCGAATCCAACTTCTTTGATTGCCCTTGACCGGCAATTCGTTTTCCCCAGATTCATGACTCTCAGCCTTCTGAGAGGCCTCAATATTGTGTCAAAATTGAAACAGGAAAAGGCTCTTACTAAGCAACGCAAGCACACCAGGGTGGTTAAATCATTGGCCGAGCTTAAAATAGACGACAAGGATCTGGAGAAACTCACTTCATCTTCCACTTCCTTCGTGGTTCTAAACCTCCTGCACCGCTTGTTGTTTCATCTTGGCACGTGGAGCAACACCATCTAACCAAATCAATTAGGAAAAGAACGATTTCATTCGGAACAGCTACGGCCAACCAAGAGGAGCCATGTATGCATTTCGGTTCATTCCGTTCATTCTGACCGACAGAAGTACGGAAAGCACTACTGTACCTGTCCTTCTGGATGGAAGCAAGGGTGGATTATTCCATTCATGTCTAGGTAGAGATTGTCGAACTCGTAACCGTTAGGATTAGGGAGATATTGACGCGAACGGGACGGTCGTTCTCGATCAACGGAGTTTCTTCCACCACGTCGGCCACCGAGCACTGGTACCTTTCAACCAGCCGCCGGTAGAAGGACGGTATTCCCATGGGGGCTAGTCGCCTAGTCTAGCAACAAAAGTAACAAAAACAATAACTTACCATCGGCAACGGCGGGGGTGGCCGAGCATTTGCTGTCTATTAGTACTGCTGCGGCAGCGTGCTCCTTAGGTAGGTTGAATATTTCGAGCTGGAGGTTCGGTTACCGGTTAACGGTTGGTTATCCATTAACTGATAACAAAGATAACCGAATTTTGGTCAGTGTTCAGAGGCTGGTCGAGATGGTTTTGGTATTGGAGGTGGTTCGGTTAACCGAAAATCGAGATAATCGAAGTCTAAATTCCTATTTCGGTCGGTTGTCGATCAGGGGTAACCGACCGATCGGTTACCGGTTATAACCGAACTAACTGAAACTCCACCCCTATTTCGAGCAAACAAGAGGAGGAGGACGACGACATGGACGAGTAAGAAGGAGAAGAAGAAAAAACCGTTAACCAGAGAGAAACGGAGGTTTGTATATCTTCACTCTTCAGAAGCGTCAAGAATTTCTCTGCTACTGTCGAAATATACTAAAGAGGTTATAAACGAACGCATCCATAATATGTTATTCTATTAATATTGTACACAAGAAAAATGATTACATGAATCTATATTAAATCTACGTCTAAACTTTAATATCACCGCAACCGAATTTAGTATTATATGCCAACCGCGACCACAAATGATTAGCGGTTAATCGCAATGCAAAACAATTTCACAGCAACAAGGTGTCAGATGAAGGTCTTGGCGACTGGCGTGCTATGGTCGCGGCTATGGAGGCCGTGTGTGTCTCGTGGTCGATGGTATCTCATGGGAGCCCTTTGTGTTTAGAAGGGTAGATTTCAAAGACGACAACATGTAAGGCGGAATTGCAAGGAGCTCCGAAGTTCTTATTCGGTTTGCGGTTAACCACAAACTACGTGGTTAGTTGCGGTTAGTTCTTATTTGGTTGCGGTTTCGATTAAACTGCTAATTGCTAAACAACTAATATCACTAACCGCGATCGCGAAAGAGCCTTCTTTTTCAATTTGCGATCAACCACAAATCACGTTGTTTCGGTGCGATTAGCCGTCTAACCGCAAAACCACAACAATATTGTACCCCCGCCCACGATGAGTCCAGTTTCAATCTTTGTCATCGTTCCCCCTTCTAATTTGTGGAAAGTAGTCTGTAATCTATTTCAACTATCCTAGGTAGAAACTCTGTCCTTGAGCATTTACATCCCAAACTCCACTGCCATTTGGTCTGCAATGTTTTGCTTGTCATTTAGCCCTCTCCCTCTTCACCGTTTTCCAGTAAGAACTGTCCAAAAGCATCCCTTGCCACCACCCTATAACATATGCATTCTCTCGTCAGATTCACCGCGTCAACATTCATCTTGATCCATTCTTCCAGAGGCTTTGTCCAAGTATGATCTCAGGCTTTTTCACGCATGTTGCACTTTTTTATTGTAGGACTTGTATTCTTCACATAGCATCATCGCTTTTCCCACCACTTCCCATTTCTAATATTTGCGATTATTGAACATATGGGTGTTTCCTTCATTCCATATATTCCATAGCACCATTCCTAGCTGTCCAATTAATCCTCATTTGTGCAGTTCGGTACAGTCCAACACGTCGCACACCCTAGGGGTGGAAATCGGTACGATATCGGTATCCCAATACCAAATACTGAAATCTCGAATACCGAATTACATTCTAAAGTCAATCACAATCCCAATCCCAATCCTAATCCCTTAATAATTTCGGTATCCAAATCCCAATCCCTAAATATTTCGGTATCCCAATCGGTATTATCGAATACGAAATTAATTACCTTTGCAAGTAATAATTAAATACATAAATGAGATTTGATTGTTTAATTTACGGCAAAGAGACTAACCAAATAGTCTTGAGTTTGCCTAGAGCTAGGAAATGGATAAGGGGAATGGAGGAGAGGTGATATCTCAAATTCTTGTTATTGGTAATCCTTAATTTGACGAATTGGAGGTTGAGAGACGACTAATACTAGTGTTTGTTTTTTGGTGTTATTAAAATAACAAGATATTATGTGAGAAATGAGAGTGACTTAATTTGAAAAGTCATAATTGATTTGGATGGGGGCTTCTAAGTTGTGAAAGAGTGAGTAATTACTAAAGGTTGTGTGTTATTGTTAGCGGTTTTGAGCTTGTTTTGGGCTTGTATAATTTGGTTTGGCCCATTGTATGATAACATATACGTAGAAGTGAGTAGAAGTAGAGAACAAGCCCTAGCAGATGCATACGTGAGCTAGGGTTAGAGGATAATATATATATGTAAACATGTAGAGGATCGGACTCAAGAAAACCTAATAAGAGTTTCAACTCGGAGAGTTCTAGCTCTCCCGTGGACTAGTCCCGATATCGGGGAAACCACGTAAACAGTGTGTCTCATTTTCTTCTTCGTTTTCGTATTAAGAGTGTTTTGATACTCGCTAACATGGTACCAGAGCTATCGTGTATGGAATCTGACAGGGTTTCAGTTCGATTGAACTCCAAGAACTATGCGCTATGGGAGTTCCAGTTTCGTATCTTTATTGAGGGCAAAGGCCTTCTTCCGTTCCTGGATGGCACGTCCGAGAGGCCACAAGTTCCACCGTCGTCGGCTGAAGAACTCGCTCAGTGGGTTCAAACTGATGCTCGGGTGAAGTCTCTACTTCTGAGTACTATCGATCCAGTCATAAGTCTGGGTCTTCGTCTGCTACGTTCGGCGCGGGATATTTGGGTTCATCTCGCCCAGACCTATACAACCTCTGATCCGGCACGTCAATTCGAGATCACGTTTGAGTTAGCTCGGCTTGAGCAAGGAGATATGGACGTAACATCATATTGTAATGCTGCACAATTACTATGGACTGATCAAGACTTATTAACCGCTGCTTTGTGCTCCGCTACGGCGTCGGCCGAGGTGATTCAAGATCACCAACGCACCCGACTGATGCAATTCCTCAGCCGACTGAAGCCTGAATTTGAGTCTGTTCGTGCCAATTTGCTGCAGCGCGAGCACTTGAAGATGGATGGGATTCTCGTCGTTCTGGTCCGTGAGGAAACGCGTCTAAGGACGCAAGCACAGCTGGATCTTCGCCCAGGCGCTGGCGAAGCGGTATTTGTTGTGGCCAGCTCGAAGGGTGTTGGTGGGTCCAAAGGGAAAGCGCCTTCTGCTTCTGCTGGAGATGAAGAGGTCTATGCTGTTTCTAGGCCTCGTTTTCAGCGTCGTATGTCGGAGATAGTGTGCCATCATTGCCGCCAGCCGGGCCATTATCAAAAGTATTGCAAACAACGCAATTTTTGCGTCTACTGCAAGAAGAAAGGTCATATTATCACTGAGTGCAGGCTTATTCAGCCCCGGACGACCGACACCAATCCTGCGCCACCAAATCCATCCACTGGAGGCGCGTATGCTGTTCGCCCAGCAGGGTTCCCGGACCAGCTCCTTCTCACGGCCAGTATATGACTGCCGAGGCTGTTGAGCAATTGGTTCATTCTGCTCTCCAGCGATCCTTGCCCACTGCTATCACGAGTGCATTTGCGTCGCTTCATCAGGATGGTAAGACTCCCTCTTGGCTTTTGGATTCTGCATGTTTCAATCACATGACGGGCAATGTTAATTCCTTTACGAATTTACGGTCGGTTAAGTCTAGCTCTATTCAAGTTGCCAATGGGCAGCGACTTAATGTTACAGGCGTTGGTGATGTTGAGACGTCAAAAATGAACTTAGCTAGTACATTATGTGTTCCGAATCTTGTGCCAAATTTAATTTCTGTTGGGCAACTAACCGAGCAAAATTGTCGTGTTGTGTTCGATTCCTCTGGTTGTGTGATTCAGGACCGGACGACGGGGAGGCAGATCGGAAGGGGGAGTAAAAGTGGAAGAGTTTTTCAGCTCGAGGAATTGTCGGGTCAACCTTTGTCATCTCAGTCTTCGTCTAGTATTGAGTCTAGTTCGCTACCGGTCTTTTCTAGTTTACCCAATAATGAGTTTGAATTGTGGCATTCTTGGTTAGGTCATCCCCATTCCAGTCGGCTTGTAACCATGTTTAAACAACAACTTCTTGGGAATAAAAAGGTTGATTTTTCTTCGGGAAATTTTCAGTGTACAAGTTGTATTGAGGCTAAATCCACTCGTACCTCATTTCCATCTAGTGCTACTGTGATTTCCGAGCCCTTTCAGATTGTTCACACTGATCTTTGGGGTCCGTCACCTACGGATTCTCGTCATGGTTACAAATATTTTGCGTTATTCGTGGATCATGCTACTCGATTCACTTGGGTGTATTTTCTTCGTTAAAATCCGATCTTTTTTCTGTTGCCACCGAGTTCTTAAAAATGATTCAAACCCAGTTTGGTAGAACAGTTCGTGTAGTCCGATCCGATCCTGGGGGGGAATCAGCTCTAATCCGTTAGCCAGTTTGTTTCGGTCTCAGGGAATATTGACTCAGAAATCGTGTCCGGGGGTGTCTCAGCAAAATGGTCTTGTTGAGCGTAAAAACCGTCATGTTGTCGAGCTTACTCGTGCCATGTTGTTAGCTTCTCATGTCCCAGCTCGTTTTTGGCCGGAAGCTGTCCCAACTGCTGTCCGATTGATCAATTATCAAATTACTCCTGTTCTTGATCAACGTAGTCCTCATTTTGCTTTGTTTAAGAAACATCCGGATTACTCTCATCTTAGAGTTTTCGGTTGCACCTGTTTTGTGCTTCTTCCGCGCAAAGAATGATCAAAATTGTCCTCCAAAACGTCGAAATGTCTTTTCCTTGGTTATAGCAATATCCATAAGGGGTATCTTTGCTTCGATCCATCGCTTAACCGGCTTCGTATATCCTGTGATGTCGTTTTCTTTGAGCGTCTTATGTTTTACTCTAGTACCCCTGAGGATGTGTATTTTCTATCCGAGGTGACCCGGCTTCCTATGTTTGAAGATGATGTGGACATGGATGTTGATTTACTCCCCCCCCCCCCCCGACTCGCCTGACCCCCCGACACTTGGTTCCAGCTTATCTACATCATCATCGGACAGCTCGTCTCCAGCCTCCAGTGACTCCATTCCCGCCAGCAGTCCGTCGTCCACC